TGTAAAAGTAAATTGCCAAGAGTTTCCGTTGTTCCTCAGTTGCTGTTCGAGGGCATGCATCACCAATGATTTGAGAGCTTTAAGCAGCACTGACGTCATTGCGATGGCCTGATAATTATCTGATTCAGTTGAAACCGAAGACCCCGCATGAGGGTGATCTTGACAAGGCGCCAACAATCAAGAATGACTCCACCGCTCATGCAGCGGTTGTACGCTCCCTTAAGAATGCCGTTGAGTTCGTTTCTCTACAATGAACAAGAACTCTTGGTATCAAGCTGCTGCCTCGTTAAAACAGCGTCTATCATACTTCTGGCAACAAGAAAAGTTTCCTGTATGACGTCTGAGCATACGAAGATTCAGGCTCAAGGCTTCGCATATGGACACCCAATACATCTAGATAATCAAGAATTTGGGTTGAAGACGACTTATGGGCACTGAACTGTTGAATAGCAATGCAGGGTTCTTTAGCTTTCTTAGCAAGCTAGGAAATTGTTCCAGTGAGTGCGTCAGAGAATCTGGATTCTCGACTGATTTGTCTGCGAGGCGATTTACATTCGGTCATGTCTCCACGATGGTACGCTGCTTCCTTCCGACGGCGCAGTCATTCGATAGCATGTGTTGTCATAAATTTAGTGCTAACCATCAACTCTTAAATGGGGCAGCAGTTGTCACGAACAAAATTAATCTAGTCACAAACTGTCTCTGCCAACTCATTTAGGGAGGTTCTTCCAAACATCCCAAATACAGCCTGATTGGTGGTACTCAACATTGTCCTCATGTCGTCAATGTCTTCGGATGTAAAAAGCCTGTGACGCAGAACACGTGTTTTCGGGGTTCAGCGGCACTTACCTAGCTTGCTGTAGTTTTTAGGTAGAACGCTGACGACATAATGGTCTGAGCCGGCAATCAGAGCTAGAGGTTTGACTTCGAATAATGATGGAACATTAATCAGCACGCTGTCAAGCTTGTGCGACAGGCGCGTCGGAAAATCGACAATGTCAACGAGTCCAAGAGAAGTGAACAAAAGAACATTATGCCTATCAAAATCGCAGCCACTACGCAGAGTGCCTGTCCTGGATGTTCCGACGCACTTGTTGTGAATGTGTCAATAAAGCTGTCAAGTTCAGCGGCGTAGCATGATGGCGCAACGTCGATGTTTGCCAAAGCACACTAAGGAAGGTTGGCAAAGAGGGAATCAAGGACTGAAGAACAAGGCATTGAATACCCTCAGTCGAATAACTGAGTAAAACGAAAGTTCAGAAGGTGGAACACCAGTCTGATTTAATCCAGATATCTACTCCGGCACGACGGGATTTAATCTTGACCTCAGAACAGCAATCACCTCTGTACAGTTGATAGTGGCTGAAAGTCACCACAACATCTTCAGTCGCTTCGTTGAACCAGAATTTCTGAATCAGAAGAACTCAAGACACACGCAAGTCTGTAGCACCTTCCATGACCTATTCTGTGCTATATGGCTTTTTGCGCATTATTGGATGTTAGCTGGCATCACAGAAGGAATTTCCATATTCTTAGGCGATGTTGTTTTCACAGCTTTGCACTAACTGGTTGCCTTTCCTCGAAACAATCAATATCGATTCGATAGCCATACCTCGCCAAAGTTTTCTTGGTCTCGCCATCGAGATGTTTTGCACTTGGGAAAGCTCAGACGCAGTTAAATTCGTTTTGGGAGTACTGCCAATAATCCATCACTGTGAACACCCAAAACGCAGCTTCGCAAGTTCCCCAACATTTGCACACAGTAGAAATACTACGCACGTACTAGCAGCCATTAAGCGCTAATCATACAAGGGACAGAATCAAGTCAGTCGAAGAAGAGCAATCGACTGCACGTACTACCGTCACAATGCATCCGAAGGAAAATAACAATGAATGAAATATCGGGCATTTCTTAGACTCTTGTGTATAATTTCGTATATATCTAATTTCCACTGCCCTATTAGTGCCGTACGGTAGAATTTTATCTCCGTTATTTGGCATGAAAATTTTAAAACTGTGTTATTCATTTTCATTGCCTGTTTTAAAGAAGTTTCCTGTGTACTCTGCTCCTGTTCTCCATACAGTACGCCCTATTACAGCAAAAAAATTTGCTAAAGATTTTCAACCAAGTGAAACAATGTATGTTTCAATCTATATTATTCATCTTTAGTTAGATTGCGCCAAAAGATCGCCTGTATATCACTTTTTCTCTTCTACGTCATTCCTTTTTCTGATTGGAAGGGTTAGCTCAGTGTAAATGGAAAAGCATTAAGAATGCTGCTGTGTTGCTTGGGGAGTCCCAAACTTTTTCTCTCCTTTAATGATGATTTTAGGATAAAAGTCCTATATTTCTTCCCGGAAGAATGATAAACTTCATAGCCAGCATTGCAGAAGGCCACCAGAAATGGAAAACATCTTCATCTTCCATGGTCGTATCTCCTTTCGAGAAGCGGAGGCAGACACGTCAGACAGTACTTGCAACGTTCCCGTTTGTGTGATACATTTCAATTTTCTACGCTCGTTTACTCATTTACTGTTACTTGTTTAAAGGCCGTAAATGAAAAATATATTTGTAGAATGATGAATAACTTGTCGATCCCTTTTGTTGCTGCCCCGAATGCTTGCACATGAATCAACGCTCATCTAAGCGAATCCATTGATCGAAACATGCGTTCATTTTACAGTCTTCCGTGCCTTTCAGTTCCGCAATGCTTACAAGCTATACAAAAGTTACAATTGCACTAATTAAATTTACGTTTGAAGTTACATATAGTGTCAGGGAAGCGCATGAATTATTACATCTTCATCTTCCATCGCCGCTTCTCCTATCGGGTCGCGGAGACAGGCGTGTCAGAGAGAGTTTCCAACGTTCTCGATCCTGAGCCAGAGTATGAGGTTCGGCAGAAGACAACTATAGTTTAAAACTGACTCCTTCCATTTATTTGCACCGGGTTAATCTTGACCGTCCCCTGGGTCTTCTGCCGGTCGGTTTCGCAAGATAGAGTTGCTTAGTCTACCTTTCTGGAGGCATTGGCAGCACATGCCCAAACCATCGCAACTGTGGCTTCTCAATCTGGAGAAGCAAAGGCTGTGCACCAAACCTCTCGCGAAATGTCTGTATTTCAGATCATGTCAAGACGTGTAAGGTCAGCGGTTCGAAGTTATTCGGTCATGGTCCACGTTTCATGACCGTAGGTAAGCATGCGGATAATGATCGACTTTAACACCGAGAGCTTAGTTTTCAAACTGAGCTCTGCTTTAGTCACAATGGATCAGGCTAGTTCATGCAGAACGTCACTGGCTACTCCAATTCGCCGGTCAATCTCTTCCTTT